GGGACAGCAACGTCATTGAGACTTTCGACATCGCTCGCTTGACAGTCAATGCTGACGTGGGCTATTATTCTTGTGAGCAAGCCCAAGCACACTCCCCTAGCCTCCTGCAGGCCTCTACCAGGCTTCCAGCTGGGCTCCTCCCGTCTTCCCTCCCTGTGGTCGCTCCCACGGCCAACGTGCTCAGAGACCTGAGTGCTGAGATGTTGGGCTGCCCTTCCTGATATCCCTGTCCACTCCCAGACAGTTGTGAACACACACACACGTACACTAAAACACATAATGCACTCCCGTGTTCATGTATGCACATTCCACACAAACACATGTGTACACATGTATACAACCCACAGCCATATGCCACGTATTCACAGTCACATGTTTTCATGTACCTACATCAAATAATACCGTTATTTTCCCATACACTCACATATACAAACAAGCCAGGCCAGCAAGGTAAGGGCTGTGTGAAGTTGTGAGGAGCAGGGGTGGCTGGAGACAGGAGGGGAGAGGGTTGTGCTCTGTCTCTTTCCTAGTTCCAGTTCTGGGACTGTGGTGTTGGGGGTACCTGTTTGGTTCAGGGGGAGCTGGCAGTTAACTAGGCATCCCTGTGTCGCTAGCCTCTGCCATGCCCTCCCTGCAGTCAGTCAGGCAGGCCAGTGGCCTGGCTGAACTGTCCCTTGCCCTCCACAGGGAGGTGTCCAAAGCCCCTGAAGAACCGTGATGTCATCACCCTTCGCTCCTGGCTCCCCATGGGCACTGATTACATCATTATGAACTACTCAGTCAAACATCCCGTGAGTTGACCTGCCTTCCCTGCTGGGTGGGCAGGGAAGGTGCCAAGTAGGGCTGGGCTGGCAGGCCTAGCCTAGGGAGAGGACCCTGGTTGCTACCATGACTTCCCTGTGACTTCAAGCCAGACATGAAATCTGTTGGCCCTCAGATAGGCTGAATTCCACTGGTTGGGCTCTGCATGGTCTGACTAGGAAAGGGGGGAGTGAGGTCAGGGTTCCCTAGCCTTCCTTGAGGCTGGGCCACTTCGATCTCCATGACAGGTAGGACAAGGAGGTACAGCTGGCCTGGGCAAGGACAAGCGCGTGTGCGTGTGCGCATGTGTGTAGGTATGTGTGTGCTTGCCTGTGTGTGCTCATGAACCCGGACCCTAAAAAGGGTAAGGATAGCCTAGTCTGACTCTTCCTTTTCTCCTTACCCCAGCAGCAGGCCTGGCCTGGAGTGGACACCAGGAGATATGAGCTAACTAACTCTGTGTGTGTGTGTGTGTGTGTGTGTGTGTGTGTGTGTGTGTACTCACAGAGACACCTCCTTTGCTCCCACCCTGAGTCTTACCTCCCTGTGCCTTCTGTCCCCAGAAATACCCGCCTCGGAAAGACTTGGTCCGAGCTGTGTCCATCCAGACGGGCTACCTCATCCAGAGCACGGGGCCCAAGAGCTGCGTCATCACCTACCTGGCCCAGGTGGACCCCAAAGGTGAGGGCTTGGCCCTGGAGCCTACCATGGGATCCTCTCCTATTTCCCAGGGAATGGGACTTGATTTACTCAGAATCCAGAAGGGTTTTTGTTAGGAGTTGTTTTGTATTTTGGGGCATATTCATCCAAAACATATTCATCATTTGACCCACGGTTTGAGACGTCACAGCGGTTTGAAAAGCCAGGGCCAAAGGTGGTAGCCAGTGTCCCATGATGAAGCTTAGAGCTCCCTTCCTAGTGCTCACACTCCTATACGCTGACTTGCTCCCTGCTCACTGGCCGCTCTTACACATTCCCACCTCGCTGTCTAGGCAGCCTAGAAACACCTCTTCTCCCTTACTCGTCCCTCCAGATGTCACCTCCTCTATCCCTAATACCCAGAGGAGTCGCTGGCTCCCTGCTCTGTGGGCCCATTCCCCTCTAGCAGAGCACTTGGCACACTGTTGGGCCCCCCAGACAGTGAGTTCCTCTCTGTGTCCCCAGGGCTGGCCCAGGGTGGGTATCACTGAGCGAATGTGGAGTGCGTGAATGAATGGATGGATGACTCAAGGATGGGTAAGCCCCAAGCACCTTTACCTGGGAATGCCCTGAACCCCACTGAGGGCCCAGTGGCCAAGGCTTTGGGCTCCCCAGCATCTCATTGAGTGAGTGTGTTGAGTGTCAAAGGCAGAGCATACACTTGGGAATGAGACAGGGTGGAGAGCTGGGCTGTGGATTCCAAGTCAGGCCAGGCTGGAGTGTCCAGCCAAGAGGCCTGTGCAGCAGCTAGGCTTTCTGGGGTGGGAGGCTTTCTGGGGTACAGGCAGAGGAGGGGCTAAGCATCAGGACTATTTATTCCCCATAGAGGGACTGGGTATGAGAAGGGATGTTAGTGTGAGTGGAGGGCAGGCAGCAGGCAGGAGCTTGCTGGGTCAGCAATTCAGTCCATCTGTAGCCTGTAGTCACCTAGGACCCTGCAGTTTTCTTCCCTGCAGCCAGCCCTCTGGGGCTCAGCAGGAGGGGGCAGGGACACAGAGGTAAGCCTAATGAATAGACACAAAGGGAATGGAATATGCCCATAAATGGAGAAAAAGCTAACATTCCCCTCTAGCAGAACACCTTGGTCTGAGATGGAAAGAGAGGGTGAGGATAATAAAGTCTTATGGGACTTATCACACCCCCCCCCCCCCACTCCCATGGAGAAGAGGGTGGCCTCTCTGGAAACCTCAGGCTGGAGGCAGGGGACTGGGTGCCTGAGGCTGCTGCTTCCCCTCTCTCCTCACTCCCCTTCCCTGCTCTCATAGGCTCCTTACCCAAGTGGGTGGTGAATAAATCTTCTCAGTTCCTGGCTCCCAAGGTGAGTGGCCTTGGGACTTTGGCGGTATGGAGGTTGGTGGAGAGGGTTCTGGGCTGAACGGGTGGAGTGGGGATAGAGACGGGGAGTCAGGGCTGAGGGGCAGAGTTATGAACTCGGGGCAAGAACTCAGGATGCTGGGAGTGGGGGGCTGAGTGGCTGGAGAGCATGAGAGGGGATGTGGTAAGAAACTAGTCCTGTGCCTGTTCAATCCTGACTCTGGTGCTGCGGGTCCACAGGCCATGAAGAAGATGTACAAAGCGTGCGTCAAGTACCCTGAGTGGAAGCAGAAGCATCAGCCCCACTTTAAACCGTGGCTACACCCAGAGCAGAGCCTGTTGCCAAGCCTGGCGCTGTCGGAGCTGTCCGTGCAGCATGCGGACTCGCTGGAGAACATCGATGAGAGCGCGGTGGCAGAGAGTCGGGAGGAGCGCATGGGCGGTGCTGGCGGCGAGGGAAGTGACGATGATACCTCGCTCACCTGAGCGTGGAACCATAACAGGGACTGAGACAAGACAGGGCAGAGCCTGGGGGTGGCTTTCTCCCCTCCCACACCCCCTGTGCCTCCTGAGGACGTTGGGCTCAGACCCAGGTTGGCACTGTGGCCTTGCTGGATATAGCCCTAATAAACCATCCCACAGCCTCAGCCGGCTCATCGACTCCTCGCTGTACCTGCTTCCCACCTGTCTGGGGCACAACTGCCACTCTTGGTGCCCTTGCTCTACAGTTTATTTTGTTAATTTTATCGTCGATTGCCTGACCTTTATTTCTTTAGGCTTCCTCTTTCCTCCCCATGGGTAGCTGGGGGGTTGGGTTGTTAGCTTTTTCTCTGTTTGTGGGTATGTTCCATTCCCTTTGTGTCTATTCATTAGTTCACTCTTCGTCCACCCACCTGTCCTTGTTGGTGGTCATTCTGCCATTCTCTCCGGCTATTTGACTACCTTTCACTGCTCTAAGAGGAGTAGTAGCTCTGGTTAGAGGCCCTGGGTCAGGGGTCAGAGGGTGGGGTTCTTTTGTGTGACCTTCAGCTCCATGGGGAAGTGGGTTTCTATTTTGTGACCTTCGGCCTCATAGCGTCCAATCTATGGATTGGGGGATTGATACTCTCTAGTCATCAGGGAAGGGAGGTGGAGAGGTCCCTGGGTGTCAGGCCACAGGGCTGTGGGCCTCAGAACTGAGGTTGGGGCATCATGTTCTGGAGGAGGGAGGTTGGGGATGAGGTGAGGGCCATCAGACTCCAGGGCATCGGAGGGAATAGGCCCTGTGATTTGAGCCCTCCCTAGGTCATTTTGAAGACTCCCAGGAGGTGTCCGGCACTGGGCCTGGCATGTAGTAGGTGCGCAAATGAATGACTCCCAATCTCAGTAAACCCCCATGCCCCACCCTGGTGAGAGCTGTTCTTTCAAATGACTCCACGGGGTATTTGGAGAAATGGAAGCATAAAAAAGCTAAGGTTTCTGCTTGGCTGGCCCCAAAGGTGCCCTGGACACGGGAACCAGGAATGCCTGCCAGACTCTGGGCCTTCATCCGTGTGTGCTTGCAGGATGGTAGAGAATCTCCCGTTCGTTAGGCCACCAGAGGTGCCCCGGTGCCGGAACCTTAGGCTGCAGTCTTCAGCCAGGGATCTTTAAGGGCTCTAACTGGGCAGGACTCCTCCCACCACCCCGCCTCTGGGGGAGGTGGCCCTGGGGGAGAAGTAGGATAAACGCAGAGAATGGGGTGGGGAAGGACTTCCTGGAAGAGGAGGTCAGAGACCTTGGTCGTCCTGGTTTTTACACCCTCTTAATGGCCCTGGGCGGCCTGGGCTCCTGGGGGCGTGTGGCTCATCCCTCTGGGCACAGTCACCCGAAGAAGACTAGCAAGAGGCAGGGGGACTCAGCGGATGGGGTGGTAGGCTCAGGAGACAGAAACGGACGTTCGAGCAGGCAGGGGAGCGGGAGACACAAACGGGAGGCACACCTTTCCACTGTCTGCAAGGAGAACTCAAGACTCTGGCTGGGCGGGGTCACCGAGGGGGCGTGGCCCCGCCCCGCCCTCGGGCGTGGTCACGCGCAGACCCCGCCCTCCCCTCCCAGGGCGTCACGTGGGCGGGCGGAAGCGCCCGGCGGGGTGGGCGCGCCCGGCCGGAGGCCGCGAGTTCGCTGCTGCGGCGGGAGCGTGGCGGTGGCGGTGGCGGTGGCGGTGCCGGTGCCGGTGCCGGAACCTGGTCTCCTCGCGGTCTTGGCTCAGAGCAGGTCAGTGAGGCTGCCGGGGCATCCCCGTTCCCGCTCCTTCCCCAGGTGTGGCCCGGAGTTTTCCCATTCCGCAGAAGGGAACGCCGAGGCCCCGCGGCGATGCTGTGCCTGACGCCTACTTCCGCGGTGTTTCTGCAGGTTGTGTGGTCTGTTCTCCGGTCTCGCGGTGGGGGTGGCGGTGGCGGTGGCTTCCCGACGGTGCGCCGTCGGGCCAGAGACCGTAGAGAGAAGGGCGAACCGGCGGGACAGGGGGCTTCCAGCCCTCCGCCCTCTGGCAGGAAGGCTCCCGGGACTGGAGCTAGCCCTTCTCGGACGCCTTGCTTTTCTCATCTGTGAAATGAAGGCTCGCACCTCGGTGACCGCGGAGACCCCCACAGCTCAGCACATTGCTACGACCCTATGCCCAGGACCTGGGCAGTGACCTTGGGAAGACTACTTCCGGTCTCTGCCCCAATTCCCCACCAGTAAATGGTGGCATGGCCTCCCAGGAGCCCCTACCTGGCCCAATTGTTGGGGAAAGAAAGGAGGTTTGTGTTCACATTGAATGGGGTCACGCCTGGAGTGGGTAATTGGGCCTAGAGAGAGCAGACTTGGGAGTGCAGCCTGGGGGGCATGGGGTGGGTGTTTGGTTTCAGATCGCCAGGGGTGTTTTTGTTGCTGGGGAACTTAGGTCAAAAGCCATCACAACATGACTTCTGGCATATGCACCCCCTCCCCCAACTTCTGTCCTGGAATCCTTTCCTGGGTGGGGAGGGCTACAGGGTCCGATGTGTAGAGGTACTCAGGGAAGGATTTGACTGAGCACCCAGGTCCAGACAGGCACCCAGGACGCCTGTCTCAGCAGAGTGCCGGGCTAGGGGAGACCTCCCAGTAAGCTCATTACAGGGTAGAAGGATACCAGCAGAGTCACAAAGACAGGTCTAGACAGGCACTGAGATGGAATGAGGGACTGGAACTCTTGGGGGAGATGACTGGAATGGGCCTCAGCAGTTAAGCGTCAATTCACAAGGATAAGGACCCTCCAGAGGAGGGCATAGCTTGTGCAAGGGCAGGAACTTGCATGGCATATTTGAGGAATGGTGAGGAGATGGGTATGGCACGAAGGGGTAGCAAGGGCAGGGCGTAGAGAGAACTCATCCCCCTGTCCCATGGGTTTGGGATTGTCCAGACTCTGGCCTGGGAACTCTGCCTCCCCATTTGCCGTTTGCTCACAGGAGTAGGGCAAGAGGGGGCTGATCCAGGCAGAGTCCTGACAACTAGGGAGGTGGAAATTGGCAGAGGCCACCAGGGGCCCAGATTGTACCCAAGCTTCATGGGGGCATTCCCCACTTGACCCCAGCCTCACCTCCACCACCTGTCGGGTTCTCGTCATGCTTTTCCATACATCAAGCCTCAGCCCTTTGTTCAGATTGCTTGTCGCCCCCCCCATCCTTCGTCCCCTAAGTTTTCTCCCCTCCAAATCTAGATCCTTTGGGACTTCAAAGGTGGGCTGCTTATTGCTGCCCAGCCTTTTAGGCCTGTGTAGTGGCTCAGCTTAGCAAGGGCCTCCTTGGAGCTCTGTGGGGAAGGGGTTTGCAGAGGTATGGGAATGTCAGGGATGTGGGGCAGTCCCTGTGCTGCCACCAAACCCTATGTTAATAAAGTAACAAATCCCCAGACTTCTCAGTTCCTGGCTCAGTTCCTCAGAGCCTTCATTTCCCCATCTGTAGGATGGGGTGATAGCCCTGGTCCCATGCTCCAAAAAGAGCCTGGTCGTGGGCAAGAGCTGGGCCTGAGTCTAAATCCTGCCCCCAGCAGTGAGTGTTTGAATGAAGAAACGGCAGAACCTGGGGGAAGGGGTCAGTTTATAGGGGTAAGGGACCTCTGAGAGTCCTAGGGGCTAGCGATGGACTTGCCCATTGGCTGGAAGAAGGGAGTCCCCTCTGCTCTCCAGGGCCCTCTCCCCTCCCCACCCCATTCTCCCTTTGGCCAAGCTCAAAGCCAGCCGGCTGATGCCCAAACAAGTAGCTTCTGTTCCCAGGGTAGGGGGAGGGGAGGCAGGCCCTGGGCTCCAGGCCTCTCCCTGCCTCTTCCCCACACCCCCCTTCACTCTGGATCTTAACCCTTGGAGGCCTCGAATGGGCCCTGGGCTACTTGAGGGCTGGTACCCCTTGCCCACCAGCAGTCTCTTTAGGGCTCCAAGGGTTCTCTTTGCAGTAGGAGGGGATGTAGTGGACGTGAGCTGGAAATGGAGAGGGAAGGAGAGAATGGAGGGGAGGAGGCGGCTGGAGCACATATGGCCATGGATAGTCAGAGACCACTTGGCCCAGAAGCTTTTTTCACAGATGGGGAGACTGAGGCCAAGGGCCAGAGGTTGGACACAGAGAGCGCTGGTGGGGGTCAGTCTTGACTCGGATTCATAGTCTGGCTCCTCTCTGGGAAAGCAGAGAGAAAGGAAGAGTGCCCTCCTTGATTTAAGCACTACAGTGTGCCTGACACTACGCATTTGTTACTTTACTGACTTTACATCATTCCATGAGACAAGCTCACTCTCCAGTAAAAGGGGAAGAAACTCAGAGACAGCTGAGGAATGACATCAGCGAGGATGACAACGTCAGCAAACATGCACACAGCACCGTTGCCGGCAATTTTATGTATGTCAACCAGGCAACCA